AACTCGTACTCCCGACATTAAAGGTGAATGCAGAACAACTGCGCCAACCTCATATCGCGCGGCCAGATCAACTGTGGGTACAGTCCCAATGCTTTGACCATACAGAATAATGTTTTCCGGGCTAATACCGTAACGTGTTCTAAGAGCATGCCACGCAGCATCTATATCCGCATAAAGATTCTTTTCTGATGGTTTACCACCAGAAACTCCATAACCCGAATAATCATAACTGAATATGTTACAATTTATTCTCGACCCCAGTCCCAAATAAAAACTAGACATCTGTCCAAGATCAATTGCATTACCATGAGAATATAAAATCGTAAAACGTGCAGTAGCTGAACACCGCACAAACAAACAGGCTATTCTATTCCCTCGTGACGTTCTTGCATAGAAACCTTCCACCGACTCTTTCTCCCTTTCCGTGTATTGCCATTCTGCTCTTTCAGATAAAGAAATTGTAATCTTCGAACCTTCATCTTCAATAAATGCATAGGTAGCCTCAGGAGGTAGAAACGCTAGTTTTGCAGCGATTCTGGACGGGCAAGGTGGACAGCAAAACAAGTAACACAATTCACTAAAATTTAACCCGTTCATCGTTCCACAGGGGAGTTACACGCACGCAAAAACGCCGTTTATCACGTTTCTTCGTAGAGTCTCCACATCGAGATTAGCCTTTTGATTTAAAAATATCTCCATGCACTGTACTTTCTACGCTTTGTGATTCAATTATAATGTCATTTGTTATCGTACTCTTGGAAGAGTCCCTCACGATGAATCAGCCATGACGGCTCGCAAGACGGACGATTTCTCTCTCTCCTGTTTCCTCTCTTTCTCGCATAATGCCCCCACCCACTGAACGTTGCGCACTTTCATTGTATTCAGGTAAAATGAGATAGAAGACAAGGATAGAAATTATGGTGCTATTTTGCTACGTTGTTCTTCTATTCATTGCTTGCTATTGGTGAAAGATTTAAAACCAACGAGATGATTCGATATGCAATAAAGAATGGTCGCGTATTCAAGCACGCTAAGTATGCTACCAACATTCTAAGTAACAATGATAAGCGCATTATCGAAACATAAGTACGCGCCTTGCAGTGCAGTTGCATCTAGTGATTTTTTCGAAAGAAAGCTATGAGGTTAGCAATAGCAACCTTTCGTGGAAAATCGATTAAATCCAGGTATATGGTGGAAACTCGACTAGTTCATGTTGTTGCGTGATCGTGCCGTTCGCTATACAGTTTTAGCCGATGGCGGCTGTCAACTGGTGTATCTCTGGCTTTTGTCGAATATATTTTTACAAATTTTCAAATAATTTTGAGAATTTCTATTCGCAAATAGTCATCACGCATTCGCGTTAAATTGATTTTTCTATGAGTCTGTGAAATTAGCATTTACAACATTTATACGACATCAGGCAAAGAAACAATGGGGTAAGTGAACGTGGTGGTATTCTGAACCGCCTTTTAAGGGTGTGTAATATATGTACACGCGAAGTACAATTTTCACATCACACACAAGTACGATAAACGATCCTCAATTCTTCCATTACCGAATACCATCAATTGGTATAAAATAGGTCGGTTCCATTGCGTTAGCTAATGAACAGTACTATCCTTTCCTGTCTATTTACAATCATATTCCCGACATCATCGCAGATACGCATTTAGATGGGTGCGTGCATAAGGAGACTGGACCAGAATGTTTTTCTTTTCTTTTGTCTATATATAACCACGAAATAAAATAGCGAAAGTGAGATAAGTCGGCATCGCGTGAAATGTGTTTATTCTAGTTGTTTACTCGTGCATCGTTTGATATAATTGTAGATTCGATTTGTAAAAATTTATTCCGTCAATTACAGAAATATTTATCGCGTTAATATTTATTTAGCAGTTTTTAGCACAATTATATGTTGGTTACACAAATTCAAATATTTTTTTTATTTCTGATATAACATACAAAAACTTTTGTTTAAAAATATATTCTTTTTTAAATGAGTTTTATAAATAATTTCATTTCTTACTAAAATGATAAATACTTAATTAAATATTGTTTTCGTTATAATTATTTATTACTTTTATTACTAAAAAGACATTTATTACTGAAAAAAAACATTTATTACTTGTTAAAATTATTTATTTTAAACAATGTATATAAATTGTACATACATTGCACGTATGAGAAAGTAAAAAAATTAAAATAAAAATATAATTGCTTTTTATAAAAGATAGAACTGGAAATTGCTTGTTCATAATTCATTATTTTTGAGTTTCTTTAGATTTGTACGATATAGTCTGTATCACTGTAATGTTAAATTGTAAAATTATTAGATTTTCATTGCATTAATTTTAAGGCATGTAAAATAATATGTATATTTGACACTTTTTAATGTATTTAATTTTGTTATGTTCTGTGAAATATACATGTAATAAAGTTCTACAAAAAAAATATGCTTCAAGATATTCGTTATTATTAAAACACCTATAATTTATTAATATTTTGAGTATGAGATATAAATAGATGCTGCATGTATTAATTAAATCAATATATTTAAGTACCTAAGTCTCTTGCTTTTAATAAATTACAGCGAACAACCAATTTTCACGTGTAAAGCACACGTGTTTCATATTGATCCTAAGACAAAGAGATCTTGGGTATCAGCATCTACAGCAGCAGTCTCTATTTCATTTTTTTATGACTCAACACGAAGTCTATACAGAATAATTTCTGTTGAAGGAACAAAGGTGATTGATAAATAAGATGTTATATGAAGTAATTTTATATTGTATTTTATATTTACGTATACGTTTTATTTTTCTTTTAGGCAGTAATAAACAGTACTATTACTCCAAATATGACCTTCACAAAAACATCACAGAAGTTTGGACAATGGTCAGATGTTAGAGCTAATACTATATATGGTCTTGGCTTTTCATCTGAAGTAGAATTAGGAAAGGTTTGTGAAATATGTCTTTAGTTAATGTACAGTTATGTGTACACCACAATCTCAAAGGCAATACTATTCATTTGGCAGTTTATAGAAAAGTTTCATGAAGTGAAGGAAGCCACTAAAGTAACTAGTGCTAAATTACAATCGAACAGCTCATCTGTTACTCCTGCTACTAGTGCAAATGTTAGCCCGATTACATCACGATCGGGTATGCCATCATCTGAACAAGATCTTATAGATCCACCAAATTCATCGATGATTAATTCCAATGTGTCAGCATCAAATAATCCCAATCCAAATGCCAACATGATTTCTACTCAGAACAGTGTATCTTTGGTAAGCAGCAGTCCCTTACCTGGTAGTTGTCAGAATAAAGTGGATGATGAATTGAAAAATGCAGTCCATTCAAGATCACAGAGTGTTTCTCAGCAGAGTACAGAAAGTCCACAACATCAAGGGAAATCAGCACAACTTAGTTCAACGCAAGGTGGACAATCAGCTGAAATGCAGCTTAAGTATGAAAATGATAGGCTAAAACTTGCATTAGCACAAAGCTCTGCAAATGCTAAGAAATGGGAGGTATGACTTCATATGTATTAAAATATATATATGTATATACATATATGTATATATATACAGAAATAGTCATTATATATAATTAAATACTACATAACACAATCTATCATCAAAAATTTATTTGTAGGTTGAATTAACTACATTGAAAACAAATAATGCCAGATTAACAAGTGCACTACAAGAATCTACAGCTAATGTTGATGAATGGAAAAGGCAGTTACAATTATATAAAGAAGACAATGCAAGGATTAAAGCCAAGTATGCAGATCTAGAAGCTGGAAAAATAGCAGAAGGCAATAGTGAAGCATTAAGGTTGAGAGTTGAAGCATTAGAAAGTGAACTTAGAACAAAAAATGAGGAAATCAAAGCTTTTACTATGGCTACAAAAAATAAAGATTTTGTAGTATGTATACATTATAAAATAATATTATTAGATATTAATAATTAATGAAGTAATTGACATATAAAAGTGCTTATTATTTTACTATGTATTGTATTAAGTATTATTTCTTGTAAATATCATCTTCATTTAAAAATCATAATAATACTACTTTTTTAATAAAATAAGAATCATTTAAAAGGTAGAATATTTATAAAATAAATCACATCTAATTATGTTTGATTAATTCACAATTATTTTTCTAATGTGTTGATAATTTAAAATTAATATATAAATTTATAATTTTATTTTTTTAGGCCTTACAGAAAGAAAATGCAGAACTTCGTGACATGTTAAGAGTTGTCCATGAACAATTAGAACTTGCATTAAGCGCAACTAAAGTCCAAAAACAAAATTTGGATACATTGAATGCCAGATTAGCTGGTCACATACAAGATTTAGTAACTATACATCGAGAAATTACAAATACATTGCAACCTTAAGTTTGCATGTAGTGACGTCTAAGAATATTCTTCATGGGAGTTTTGTATTTATGATATAAGCGAAGTATACAAATGGATGGTGTAGATTAATACAAAGGGAAAGGTTCCAAAAAAACATGTATAGTAAAAAGAAATCTTAAAGAAGTAAACTAAGAACACTATCTTTAAATGATAAAGATAGATTGCATCTCTTTAATGTATTTATTCCGTGTTAAGTTGATGATATTTGATGTTTTTCTTCATAAATTCTTCGTGCCATACTCATGTTCTTACTGTATATAAAAATGTGTTTTTTTTTTTTTAACATTATTTTATATATTGTGTTTTTTTAATTTGTATACTCCTGCACGTACAAAAGAATTTCGTATATTAATATAAGCATAGAAAATACTTTTACTTCTGCACAGACGAAAACGTAAATCTCACTTAGATATTATGTACCTATTATATTGTATTATAAAAGTAATTTTAAAATTATTTTTACAGGTTATTTAATTAAAATTTATTGTATTTTGTTTTTTATGCAGATTGTTATAATCAATTTTTATTAATCATGGAAATTAGATTTACATATATAGTTTGTTTTCTCTGATAATTGTGTTTAAATGTTTAACAAATAAATTATAATTGCAATCATACAGCAGTCATCATTACTAATGCTATTTCACTGATTACTGTCGATCTTTGACGTATTACTAAACTACAACTCTAACTATACTATTATAACTATTATTACGATTATTAATGCTATTATAACTACCTCTACTGCTATTGCTGCACTACTAATTGCTGTTATTATTCCTCATAGTATCATCACTAGTGCTACTTCTGTAACTGTTACTACTGTTATTGTCGATCAAGTTAACATTACATACCTACAAAGGTCTTTATGATGTTTAGAAACATAAAACATATCAAAAACGTCACAAGATTTAGTGTGATACATGTTTCTCGATGTTTTTTGGAACTTAGCCCCTTGGAGACAACAATAAAATTCAGTTACCCATGAACTAAGAAAAATGCACAATTAACATTAGTAACGTTTAGCGATACTTAATTATGTAGTATAACTATTTAATTCAGCTGTACATTGTATCCATATTGTTATAGCACATATTATTTACTTTCATCAATGATATAAAAATATATAAAATTGAAGAGTCTGGCATGAGCTGTACAGAACCATTAATATTTAATATGAAGAATAATGTGAAAAAATATATCAGAAAGTTGATTTATAATGGATAACTTAGTGATTTAAATACAAAAGGTTAAATCAAATATTTCAAACATAGAGGAAAGATTGCATATTGTTTTATCATTTTTATAAAAATCATGACATTCATCAATCCAACAAATAAATGTAATGCTTTTTATTGTGAATGATTTATTATTTATTTATTACTAACTTTTTAAATACTCTATAGCAATCAAGCCAGATGTTCTTCAATATGTTATATTTGAATAGCATAGATTCATTAGGAAACAAAATTTGCCCAAGGATGCTGACCGATCTTCATAAAGATGTCAAGGTGATATTTCTTGTAACAATAATTTCTAGTAGTAAATGAAGTGCAAAATACTAAACAAAGCACTTTTTATTGTACCGACAGTATGTATGTATGTACGTAAAAATGTTATGGAAATGAATTTTAAATTTGAGGAATTGGAAACAAAAGCCTCGCTTGCCACATGTAATCCTAATAAAACATTTTCAGATGGCTTTCCTGTGTTCTGTTATCGATTATGGTATTATCATAACCATATTTTCATAACTGAATATTACATGACAAATTTGATTTGAACATAATTGTTATTTATAAAATATCAATCATTTTTAATGATATAATTTTTTTTACATAAATATTTCAATCATTGCAAATTAAAATTATGAAAATATGGTAAGAAATGTATTGCTTTGTTTCATTCATTTATACATCTAATAAAATGTAACATTTGTAAGTACATTGATTCTTTACAATAAGTTATATTTTATGTATGTATATTTATGAAATCATGAAGTCATACATAAAATATAAATTAAAATTATATTCTTACATTATGTAATGTAGTAGTTAAATTATGTTTACAATATAAGAAAAAATTTAAACATATTTATAATAATAGATTAGAAATAGTATAATATTACCATGAGAAAAATTCATTGGATTTAAAAAAAATAATGAAATGATAATATGACGTATATTATATTAAAATAAATACGAGAAAATCAGTAATGAATGGTTGTATTTACATCTTTTGAATACTAATATTTTAACCAATTTTACCAACAAAAACATTTGTTTTTTATGTTTATATGGTCATTGTTTATTTTACTTTTTAAAAGTTCATATAAAATAACCTGATTTACGTATAGAATATAATTAATTTTATATCTTTTCGTGTATATGAACATTGTTATATTATTACAGATTTTATTACCTTAACATATGTTTTATTTTATAGTATTTTTAGATTCAGTAAAATTAAATTTTCAAAGAAAATTTATTTAGAGTTCCAAATCTAGAGTCCGTATTATAAATTTTAATAACATTAATATTTGTTTTAAAGTAAAATAAAATTAAATAATATAGAAATTTTTATTTCATAGAATAGATGTAAAGAGGTGTGTACATGGGAAAGATTATTTTCATAAAGAGGAAAAAGAAAACATAGAAACATTTCCTTCACTTTATACAAAATAAATACTAAATAAGATTGTTATGTAAAAAAGAAAAAATGACACGAATTATAATAATAATTTTCCAAAATTAATACATATATAATTGTATTAAAATTGAGGTATTGTAAACTGAACAATTACAGCTGATCAGATTGTTCATTTATATAATGAGTTACTAAACTTATTTACTGTTATTAATCATTTTACACATCTAATATATAGAGAAATATATATATATATTTTATTCATTAAAATATCTTTATAACAAAAAATTTTTATACAATTTCTTCGTTATCATAATAATAATTTTGAAATTGTTAAATAAACATTGTATCAATTAATAAAATAAAATATAATACAATTAAATTACTATTATAGATAAAATAGCCAAATGATATATAATTTTGATATTATTTAAAATAGTTATTTATTTTACTAAATATTTAAGTAATTATATAAGTATTTTATGTGGAGTTATAAATATTTGTATTTATTTATAAAATCTGAGTCTCTAAACACATTAAAATAATATCAAAATAAGTATATTTTTATAATTTTGGAATTCATATATCTAATTATTACATAAAACTCAATTAAATAGTTAAACATTTTTTAATTTCTTATAATTTCGAAAATATGCAGCAGAATTTCCCGCCTTTTTAAGCATGTGCAGTGTAATATCTATAGTTTATCATAAGAAAGTATTCTGCATCAATAACGTAAAATAGAAACATAACAGAGTGCGAACAAATTTTATATATGCCAATGTTAGAAAATGAAAAATCTACATATTGATTGACATTAGTAATTGTAAAATTTTAGTGAGCTCTATTATACATATTTCGAAACGCAAAAAGTGATCGAAGTATTGTGTAAGAATTAAAGTTGTAAAATCGTTACCAAGTTTTCAAGTTCATTCATTTAGTTGAACTTTTTGCCTCTTCTTATTTATAATTTGTTTGTAAAAACAAGTAAGTAATGAATTTATACGTCAATAATTTATATGATTATCTAAATAAACATAGGAAATAAATAATATTATAAAAGTGTTAAGGTTGCTATTTAACGCATACAAATATACTTTTGTTCATTAAATGAAACATATTTTTAATTAGCTATGTTTTCGAATATCTATTTATGAAACGTATGTATGCATATGTATATACATATATATATGTATATATATATAATATATATATGTATGTATATAAACATACTTATATTTATTTGTTTATGTGAAGAAATTCTCAATTATATAAATTCCGGCATAACCTTTTAACGTTTTTATATCTTTTACTCTCCATTTTATATTGCAATAGCATTGAAATAAATGTTACAGATAAAAAAATGCTAGAACTTAGCAATTTCCATGCACCACAAGAGGGAATACGTCATGAAGAACCAAATACTACCGTGTATATTAACGATAGAGAAGTAGGAAAAGGAATTTTGTATATTACAGAGAGGTAAAATCTAAAATGAAGTAGTTTTATATTTAATAGTATGTATTCATATTTTAATATAATGTTTACATGGATAGCTTACTTTCTTGGGTGAATTATGATACACAACAAGGATTCTCACTTAAATATCCTCATATATCTTTACATGCCATATCACGAGATGAAGATGTACATCCAAGACAATGTTTATATATTATGGTTGAGGCAAAAGTAGATCTTCCAGGTATATTAAATTCTTTTTAAACATAGTTACTTATGTTTCAATGAATAGTGAAGATTAAACATAATTTAATAATATGTGAAAATTAAATTATATTACTGCTAGAAGAAATCTGATTTTAATTTTGATGTAATTTCTATTAAGAATATTGAGATTACATATTCTCACTTTTTTAATGAAATGTTTTATATAGATGTACCATTACCATCAGCTTCTGATAGTGATTCAGAGAATGAATTTGAAGATGCAGATACACCTATCACAGAAATGCGATTTGCACCTGACAACATAAATAATTTAGATGCAATGTTTCAAGCAATGAATCAATGCCAGGCTATTCACCCTGACCCACAAGATAGTTTTTCTGATGGTGGATAAAATTATTTTTACAATTTTTGCAAAAAGAAAATGTGACATATTATAAAAATTTATATATCTTTATAGCTGAAGAAGACATTTATGAAGATGCAGAGGAAGTTGATCTTGAATCCTCCCTGATGCCTCCCTACATTCTATCAACAGGTAATGTTTTAAATTTATATTATTTATAAACTAGAGTAAATTCAGTAAATATAATGTAAAAAGATATTTGAATAATTTTCACAAAAATCTTTTATTTAGAAAATCAATGTCATATGAATATAAAGATTGGTATTGCAATTCTATGTCTTTATAACAAATAGGAGGTGTGATACTAGCAGGTCAATTTGAAGATGCAGAAGAAGATTTGTAAAGTATGGAGATAATATAATGCAAATGTGCATTTAGTATTAATTTATAATTACCAGTATCATGTACCATGGTAGATATGTGATATTATGGCAGACTGTATAAGAGAGCAGTATCAAACATAAAAACAGCTAACATTTATTTATATTCATTTTATACACGGTAATAATTTCTTAGTTAAAAATAAATAATTGTATATCAAATTCAACTCCTTATTTGTATGCATATTTGTATTTGTTTTTTTAGAAAATTATTAATTTTTTACATTTATTTATACAATAAGGATGTAACTTAATATAATAAAATTTTTTCAAAATATTTGAAAGGTATATCTATAAAAACTTATCCGTTTTGAAGTAATACAATTTCATGATTAGTTTTAAGTGTATTGTATCTTTTCTATTGTTAATAAATGTTTAATTAAATTAAAAAAGGAAATATCAAAGTGTAATTTAATGATACAATTTTTATTATGTCAATATGTAAATTTTGATTGCAAAATTTACATTTTTATAATCAGCATCATTAATACAATAATTTAGTCAAATTGACTTGTTTAATTTTAAATTTAAAGATTGTTTTTATTTATGTGATTTGTATAAAATAATGTAAATTTGTATATCTAATAATAATTTTCCAAAATTAATACATATATAATTGTATTAAAATTGAGGTATTGTAAACTGAACAATTACAGCTGATCAGATTGTTCATTTATATAATGAGTTACTAAACTTATTTACTGTTATTAATCATTTTACACATCTAATATATAGAGAAATATATATATATATTTTATTCATTAAAATATCTTTATAACAAAAAATTTTTATACAATTTCTTCGTTATCATAATAATAATTTTGAAATTGTTAAATAAACATTGTATCAATTAATAAAATAAAATATAATACAATTAAATTACTATTATAGATAAAATAGCCAAATGACATATAATTTTGATATTATTTAAAATAGTTATTTATTTTACTAAATATTTAAGTAATTATATAAGTATTTTATGTGGAGTTATAAATATTTGTATTTATTTATAAAATCTGAGTCTCTAAACACATTAAAATAATATCAAAATAAGTATATTTTTATAATTTTGGAATTCATATATCTAATTATTACATAAAACTCAATTAAATAGTTAAACATTTTTTAATTTCTTATAATTTCGAAAATATGCAGCAGAATTTCCCGCCTTTTTAAGCATGTGCAGTGTAATATCTATAGTTTATCATAAGAAAGTATTCTGCATCAATAACGTAAAATAGAAACATAACAGAGTGCGAACAAATTTTATATATGCCAATGTTAGAAAATGAAAAATCTACATATTGATTGACATTAGTAATTGTAAAATTTTAGTGAGCTCTATTATACATATTTCGAAACGCAAAAAGTGATCGAAGTATTGTGTAAGAATTAAAGTTGTAAAATCGTTACCAAGTTTTCAAGTTCATTCATTTAGTTGAACTTTTTGCCTCTTCTTATTTATAATTTGTTTGTAAAAACAAGTAAGTAATGAATTTATACGTCAATAATTTATATGATTATCTAAATAAACATAGGAAATAAATAATATTATAAAAGTGTTAAGGTTGCTATTTAACGCATACAAATATACTTTTGTTCATTAAATGAAACATATTTTTAATTAGCTATGTTTTCGAATATCTATTTATGAAACGTATGTATGCATATGTATATACATATATATATGTATATATATATAATATATATATGTATGTATATAAACATACTTATATTTATGTGTTTATGTGAAGAAATTCTCAATTATATAAATTCCGGCATAACCTTTTAACGTTTTTATATCTTTTACTCTCCATTTTATATTGCAATAGCATTGAAATAAATGTTACAGATAAAAAAATGCTAGAACTTAGCAATTTCCATGCACCACAAGAGGGAATACGTCATGAAGAACCAAATACTACCGTGTATATTAACGATAGAGAAGTAGGAAAAGGAATTTTGTATATTACAGAGAGGTAAAATCTAAAATGAAGTAGTTTTATATTTAATAGTATGTATTCATATTTTAATATAATGTTTACATGGATAGCTTACTTTCTTGGGTGAATTATGATACACAACAAGGATTCTCACTTAAATATCCTCATATATCTTTACATGCCATATCACGAGATGAAGATGTACATCCAAGACAATGTTTATATATTATGGTTGAGGCAAAAGTAGATCTTCCAGGTATATTAAATTCTTTTTAAACATAGTTACTTATGTTTCAATGAATAGTGAAGATTAAACATAATTTAATAATATGTGAAAATTAAATTATATTACTGCTAGAAGAAATCTGATTTTAATTTTGATGTAATTTCTATTAAGAATATTGAGATTACATATTCTCACTTTTTTAATGAAATGTTTTATATAGATGTACCATTACCATCAGCTTCTGATAGTGATTCAGAGAATGAATTTGAAGATGCAGATACACCTATCACAGAAATGCGATTTGCACCTGACAACATAAATAATTTAGATGCAATGTTTCAAGCAATGAATCAATGCCAGGCTATTCACCCTGACCCACAAGATAGTTTTTCTGATGGTGGATAAAATTATTTTTACAATTTTTGCAAAAAGAAAATGTGACATATTATAAAAATTTATATATCTTTATAGCTGAAGAAGACATTTATGAAGATGCAGAGGAAGTTGATCTTGAATCCTCCCTGATGCCTCCCTACATTCTATCAACAGGTAATGTTTTAAATTTATATTATTTATAAACTAGAGTAAATTCAGTAAATATAATGTAAAAAGATATTTGAATAATTTTCACAAAAATCTTTTATTTAGAAAATCAATGTCATATGAATATAAAGATTGGTATTGCAATTCTATGTCTTTATAACAAATAGGAGGTGTGATACTAGCAGGTCAATTTGAAGATGCAGAAGAAGATTTGTAAAGTATGGAGATAATATAATGCAAATGTGCATTTAGTATTAATTTATAATTACCAGTATCATGTACCATGGTAGATATGTGATATTATGGCAGACTGTATAAGAGAGCAGTATCAAACATAAAAACAGCTAACATTTATTTATATTCATTTTATACACGGTAATAATTTCTTAGTTAAAAATAAATAATTGTATATCAAATTCAACTCCTTATTTGTATGCATATTTGTATTTGTTTTTTTAGAAAATTATTAATTTTTTACATTTATTTATACAATAAGGATGTAACTTAATATAATAAAATTTTTTCAAAATATTTGAAAGGTATATCTATAAAAACTTATCCGTTTTGAAGTAATACAATTTCATGATTAGTTTTAAGTGTATTGTATCTTTTCTATTGTTAATAAATGTTTAATTAAATTAAAAAAGGAAATATCAAAGTGTAATTTAATGATACAATTTTTATTATGTCAATATGTAAATTTTGATTGCAAAATTTACATTTTTATAATCAGCATCATTAATACAATAATTTAGTCAAATTGACTTGTTTAATTTTAAATTTAAAGATTGTTTTTATTTATGTGATTTGTATAAAATAATGTAAATTTGTATATCTATAATGTGCAAATCAACAGTTATCTTATTTAAATGTATCAATTGTATTAATAGGTAATAACAATATTTTTTTTATTCAAATATATGGAAATACATATTGACATATATGACATAATTGTGCTTTTTTAATGTAGTTTGAAAATATATTTTTACACTGAAAGTCACATATGATTGACAATTCATACAAATAAGATATAGATGTATATTTCAAATTAAATATAAAGAATCATTAATTTGTTGTAAATCTTACAGAAAAACATGAACATTAAATAGTTCGCATTTTATATCACTTATGATTTTCTAATATTACAAGTATTTACTTCTGAAAACATTAAGCTATATCTACCGTATTTTTTTAGGGCCAAAAATAAGATCAGCATCTGGTGCACCTTTGGGATGATTATATTTTTGTCGCCGTTCTCTATTTAAATTTACTGTCACTGGTCTAGTACTTTGATTAATTGTTTCTTGATAATCTTCTTCTTCTTGTCTTTCTGTAATATTTAATGTTAATCTTTTAACTCTTTCTTTCTCTTCTTTTTGTTCTTGTTCTCTGTTTCGAAGATTCATTGCTAATTCTGATGATACAGGAACTGCTAAATTCTTGTATTGTTGCTTATTACCTTTTCTTAACATAAGTACAAAATCGACTGTACTATTATCAGAAGGTCTTTCTTGCAATTGTTCATATGTTTTTTTAGTACTTTTTACATGTAAAGGAACTGAAATATCTACTTGTTGTGGTTTTACTGAATCTCGCATTCTGTCTTGTATATTATCTGAAACCATTTTATCAAGAGCAGACAAAAAGTCATCATCTTCAGGGCAATTTACTCTTTTAGGACCAGCAGGTAATGCTGCATTTAATTCTGTAACATCCATGATAACACCATCAGTACCACCTTCTGAAAGACTTTGATCTCCTTGTGTATTTTCTTGTGTGCCCATAGTATAATCTCTCTCTGCATCAGCAGTCCAATCTTCTTCCGATTGTGCTTCAGAACAATCTTCAGATTCTTCAAAATGCAAATCAGCTACACCCTTTGCATCTCCACTGCCATTACCAGATGTTACAGCTATGTCTTCATCTCCTTCAGCAATTACACCCATATCAGACTCTGTATCATTTCGTTCAATACCATCTTCTGCTATGGGATTTCCAAGAGTAGGAAACAATGTATTTCGTAATTCCTCTACAGCACATTGTGCTTCTTTGTAACTTTGAAATAATTGCATTTTAGATCTCAGCATTGTTAATGTGTCACGGTACATATAATCTATTCCTACTGGAAATGGATTTTCTGAAGTCCAAATGGGATCAGTATATTTAAACCAATAGTAATTTTGAAAAAATATTAGAAAATAATCAAGCTTTTTCTTGCTAGAACCACCATTAAAATACTGTCCACAAGTTTCCAATAATGTACAAACTAATCGAATTCTAAAGAGATGATCAGGTGGATCTAAAACACTTGGTACAGAATGATCCATACTAACACCAAATGTAATTAAAAGATATAACGTTCGAAAAATATCTCCACTTTCTACCATGCGATAATTATACAGCT